GGATACTGGGAAACTGGAGTGTCTAAAGGAATTGCTTGTGTGACTTATGGTTAGCCAGTGGGGTGAGACCGAAGTCCTCTCTCTTTGGCTGGTTCGGTGCCTTAATAGTAAGGGAACTCCAGTTTTGGGCTGTAACTGCCCTGAATTGATACTCTCAGTTGTGTTCCACCAGAAGCCAGCATCGTTACACAAGCCCAGTGCAAAGGGCCGATATTGCATCTTATGAGCAGATAGGCTGCAGCTCCCACCCCACAGGCAAGGAGCGCAGCCTTCCTACGGTCACATCCCCATCCCCAGGCAAGCCCAGCACCGCTCCTGTTCACCCTGTGGCTGACAGCTCAGACTCCAAGCCTCATGAAAAGAGGGAAGTGAAAACCCACTGGGCTGCTTCCCTCTTCTCTTGTAGAGAACAGCAACAGAGGGTCCTGTGGCACCTTTGAGACTAACAGAAGTATTGGGAGCATAAGCTTTCGTGGGTAAGAACCTCACTTCTTCAGATGCAAGACTTCTTGTAGAGAAGTCATCCAACCCTATCCAGAGCAGGCTTACAGCAAGGCTTTCCTCTAAGGCCTTCCCCACTCCCACTCACCTGGGCTCCAGGGTGACCCTCATGGAGGATGGGGAGGGGACTAGCTGGGAGAGGCAGAGCTCCCCAGAGCTCTCTTGCCTTTGCAGCTAGTTAAAGAACCAGCCCCGCTAAAGGACATATTGTGTCTAAACGTGAGCCTCTACTCCCACCACCATCATGGGGTACAAATCCCGAGCCCTGCCAGTGTAAGGGAGGCCCATACCCCTGCCTGGGAGCACAGAGAACGGTCACTCACCTGTACGCTATCCTCTCCCGGTGCAGGTCCCCCAGGCCGCAGCAAATCTCAGCTGCATAGAACACCGCCCGAGGCTCCTCAAAGCCAGCCTCACCCATGTGGTAGATGTGAAACTTGAGATCCCCTCCATTCATGAGGGTCAGTATCAGGCAGAGGGCATCTTTAGTCTCGTATGCATAGGCTAAGCTCACCTGCAAGACAGGGCAGAAAAGCTGTTAGAAGACAACAGAGCTGCTGCAGATAGAGGCCCGGACAGGCACCATGCCCACCCAGGCAGCCAGCCTTGGACACAGCTGCCTGGATGGCAAGGTTAGAGCTGTTTCATATCCCCATCTCCTATCAGACACATTGGGGATTATCTCTTGGGAGGGGGCTTTTGCACCCCACCTATTTTTCTGGCTTCACCTGCCTTCCAGCTGTGAAGCCCTCAGCCAGCCAGGGCAGACACTGCAGAGAGGAAAACCATTTAAATACAAGTCTCCCCTGGGGCAGTAGCTAGTGGGCCCAGCCAGGCAGATCCCCAGCTCACAGGAGACTCCCTCTTCACTGCACACTGAAAGGGAACTGGCTGCATTGTCTGTGCAAGGAGCTGGGACGCCTCCAGGGAAGAACCAAAGCTGCTACCCAGCTGGGACAACAAGACAGCTGGACAGGAAGCAGCTGGGTGGAAGCATTTCATGCAGGGCCCTCACCCCAAAGCTCAACCTGATGGGAACTGTCACGCTGCTCAGTGCCACAGGGCCAACACCTCCCTACAACTGGAAGCAGCAGCCCCCCACACCACGCATTGCCCACTCCACTGAGCACAGGAACGTGTACCACAATTGCTCAGTAGATCTCTGCCGCACACCCCCACCGAGCTGCAGCAGTCCAGAGGTGGGGCTGGCTGCAGCTTGCCTCCTGCATAGGCCAAGCTTTCCCTGATAGCTAAGAACACTTTAGCCCTTTGGGTTATGAAGAAAGCCTTAAAAAGAAGTGAGCGGAGTGTAACCAGACTGATGCTGTGACACCATCCAGCCTGTGGGGGAAGCTCCATCGCTGTGCCTTGGTCAGCAAACAGCAAGGGCAGCCCTGCTGAATCCTGTTATCCTGCCCCACAGCAGGGGAGTGAAGATCAGCAGGTTCTGGGTTCTCTCAGGTTGCCAAGTTCCTAACCCAGCCCTCGCCCCTCCCCCTGTCCCGCCCCTTCTCTGAGCCCCCTCCTCCCGCCCCTCCATAACTCTCTCTCCCCCACCCTCACTCACTTTCACCGGGCTGGGGCAGGGGGTTGGGGTACAGGAGGGGTGAGGGCTCTGGCTGGGGGTGCAGGGGCTGGGCTGGGGCAGAGGATGAGGGTTTTGGGGTGCAGGAGGGGGCTCTGGGCAGGAGCCGAGGGGTTCGGAGTGCGGGAGTGGGCTCCGGCTGGGGGTGGGGCCGGGAATGGGGGGTTGTGACGAACTGGGAATGTTCTTAATGTGTTCTTTGAATACTATGTGCTTGCCTGTGATGCAGCAGGGAGAGGGGAGTGTTGCTGGGACTGTCTCCATTGGGGATGGAGACTTTCCTTGAGGGAGGAGACCTGAGCATGTGACATGAGAACCCAGGAGGGGGGCTGGAAGCCAGGTGACATCTCTGCCCAGGGAAATGGACAAAGGCTGGGGGAGGAGCCAAGGGGAGGCTGAATGAACAGCTGGA